TGAAACGTGTATGTATGTGTGTGTGTGTGTGTGTGTTTTCTTTTTTTTTTCAAATTTAACTTGGTTAGTCAACGCTACTATACATTTACAGAGATACAGACATTAAATGAAAAGCTTAAAAATAATTAATAATAAATCAGCACACACAGTACTTCATATGTGTTCGTATGTATGTATTTATGTATGTAAAACAAGTTCATAATGTCCCGTTATCTCGTTGCAGCAGTATGGACATGCAAAATGGTCTGCTCAGACTATAAGTTTGAAGCGGTTTAAATAAGTATTTAATAGGATTATATTAGGCAAAAGGATGAAAGCCATTTACCGTTAACAAGCAGGCGTTGGTGACGTGTGTGTATGTGTGTATTAAAATAGTAGACTCATAGGTATGCGTATGTATGTATGTAATGTGTGCTTGTATGTATGAGCATTTGATGCATGTATTTGTGCTTTTTGTAAATGAAAAGTGCTATTTCTTATTTCATGTGAAAAACTATCCGAAAATTTTTGGTTCGTTTGATGCATGTGTATGTGCGTTTGAGTGTGTGGTACCGAAATTGAGATATTGTGGCATTCCTCTCGGCTGGTTGGCTGGATGAATTTCCTGCTTTTCATGTGGCCAAATTTTTTTTTTTTTTTTTTTTTTTTTTTTTGAGAAACAACAGGCCAATAGATGCTGTTGTGGTTTTTTGGTATTTTAAAGCTGATTGATGGTGGAGAATTTTTTTGCATGCGCGCTTCAGTGCTCGATTAAAGGAAAAGCGCAAAGTTCCGTGTGGCCGTATAATTCTCTTCAACTTTTAATTTTTTATAATTTATATATCAGAAAAAAAAAATTTATTTTGTGCCTCTAAAAAGTCATGTGAATGGTAAAATGACGGCGGCATCGAATTGAAGATGGAAAAAAAAATATTTTTTTTTTCAAACATATGTATGCGAATAGCCATAAATGCATAATTATGTGGGCATGTGCTGTTAAAAGAAAAAAACTCGTTCTTTGTTGATTTAACGCAGAGTAGGTAAGGCCTGTTGTGCCTATAACATATACTTCGTCTTTTTTATTGGCGCTATAACAGCCTAAGCGATTTTGGCCGAGCCCAAAGCAGCACGCCAGTCGTTTCACAAAACTCATTAAATTAACTCGGTTACTAATTTTTATTATTTCAAGTTCAGTTACCGATTTTTCCAAAAAAAAAAAAAAACCTACATATAACTTTAACGATTTGCGCTTAATGAGTGTGCACTAGTAAATATACACATACATAACAATTTAAGTAGTGTGCGTGTGTGTTTTCATTGCCATGTATGTAAAAATATATAAAATAAATAGTTACATATGTTTTTTTTGTTTTTTTTTGATATGTATGTAGTAGACGAGTATATATGTGTATATATATATTGTGCTATGCATGTGTTTGTGTGCTGGTGCGCTTATGCAAAAAATAAACTCGCATTAAATACCTCCCGCATTATCGCAAAAAATCATTTAATAAAAAAATAAGTAAAAAAAAATCAACACAAAATATTATTATGCCTTAAGTAAACGTAAAAGCTCTTAAAGCTAACCTAAAGCTTAGTAAGCTTATACTGAGTGAAAGGTAGAGAGAGAGAGAGAGAGAGAGAAACATCGAAAACGAACACTGAGAAGATATGCATTATTAAAGAAGAACGCGTATATGCCAATCGATGCTTTACTGCTGCTTAATATATATTTCTATTTAACAATTAAAGCTTTCATAAAAATGTGAAAGCTAACCACATGCACAGCACAGCATGATTTTCAAAATGATTCATGAGAATCCGTTTGAATTGCTTTTTAAACTTAAAAAGTAAAATCATATATTTGCTTAGCTTTCGCCGAAAGCACAAAAAAGCTCGCAAAAAACAGACTTTTTACAAAAAGCTACAGTTTTTAGCTATTTTTATATACACAAAACAAATTCAACGCTGTGAAAGCAGCAGAAACATGATTACGCATATAGCCTTCCCCTATCTCGCCTATCCTTACCTATCCTTCTTCTACTTCAACCTATACTTATAACCAGTACAAATTTATAGCCTACTTTTCCCTATTTCTTGCTTCACAGCTTTGATAGTTTCATACTTGTGCAAGCTAACCTGCTCCATCCGGACCCCCAGGAGAGCCGGTGTGTACGTATGCCAATGCATCCGGCCCTCCTGGGCCGCCCGGACCTACTCCTCCAAGCGGTCCGGGCCTGTAAGCTCCTCCTCTACCGCCATCTCCGCTGCCAGCGGCTCCACCGCCGCTTCCTCTGCCTCCATTATCCTTGCCTCTGCCATCAGCGCCTGCGCCTCCACCTAAGCCCGACGATCCGCTGGGATATTGGCCACCTAAGTTCGACGATCCGCCAGTATATTGGCCACCTGAAATCGATGATCCGCTAGGATATTGGCCACCTGAACTCGATGATCCGCTGGGATATTTACCATCTGAACTCGACGATCCGCTAGGATATTTACCATCTGAACTCGACGAACCACTAGGATATTTACTACCTGAGCTCGACGTACCGCTAGGATATTGGCCACCTGAGCTCGACGATCCGCTAGGATATTGGCTACCTGAGCCCGACGATCCGCTAGGATATTGGCCACCTGAGCCCGACGAACCACTAGGATATTGGCCGCCTCCATATTTGTCACTGTTTCCGCCGCTATATGGTGCATTTCCACCATTATTCTGGCCGTTCTCGCCATTGTATTGGCCACTTCCACTATCATATGGTTCGATACCAGCAATATTTGGGCCGGTGGCAGGAATATTTGGACCGCTGCCGCTATTATATTGTCCATTACCACCATAATATTTACCGCCGCCATTATCACCAGGATAAGGACCATTGGTGCCGGGTCGCACAGTGGCCACAACATGCGCTGAAGGTGCTGGTATGCGCTCACGATCGGCATAACGTGATTGACTGAGTATGGCTGAACCTTTTTGTACGCCTGCTGCGTTAGAAAGTGAGAAGCCTGGCGTAAAACCACTGGGCTTACTCTTCTGCAATAGGGAGTAGTAGGTAAGGGAAGTGGTATAGAGTTGTGATAAAAATGAAAACAAAATCTCTCAATCGTACGTACATCACCGAAATGTAATACTGGAAATTCTGGTCGTGCGCCACCCTCGAACTTGCCGCAGCCAATGGGGAAGTATAGCTCATCCCATTGCAAAATCACACCATGGCCCCCCTCGCCATACACCGGATACACCTCGACCGGTTTCTTTGGTTCAACGGTACGATAACCGTGTGTATCGGCAACATAATGTGTTGCACGTAATACGTGATTGGGATCAACGTAACCATAACAACCATAGGTAACGCCATCGGGACCGCGGGTCTCGTGATGAAAGTTGCCCGTCTTACCGATATCATAGCCATAACGGTAAGCATCTTAGGAGTGCCAAAGGTGAGTATGTTGTTGTGTTTTTGTTTTTTTTTTTGGCGTGGTGGGATTTCACAAAAACGGATTGTGGTGGAACGGATGTTGTTTTTGGGGTTGTAGTGGTTGTTAAGGTAATAAATAAGGGTTTTTAAATTTGGTAAGGTAAAAATTTACATTCAGTTGAAAATTACATAAAATGCTTGTGGTTTTGTATTAAAAAATATTGCAATTTTATAGCAAATTTTTAGAATATTGATGTACAATTTTTTTTATTTTTTTGTTTTGCTCTCGCTCATTTCAACATTGGCAATTCCTTTCGTTGCTTAAATGAAATATTCCTAAATATGTGCAACTTGAAATGATTTTTACCGCAACATATCTGCGTAGAAATGAATAGTCTAATTTTTTTTTTAATGCGCAGCTATTCAAAAAATCGAATTTTCAAAAAAAAAATAAAAAAATAATAATAAATGACGCTGCCCTTTGATTTAGAATCTGTAAGTCAGCGTTTAATACATTTCGGAGCCACACTAGTACGAGTGAATGCAGTGAATAGGATGACAAGGTATGGATGCGGATGTGGATGTGGATATGGCTATGGGAGAGGGAATTATGGATGTAAGGGTATTGGGGAAAGGGACGGTGACATTTATTTACTTTTGTAGGTTGATAGAGCTTAACGAAATTTATGTGAAAGCTTACATTACATTCATGAAAGCTTAAAAAAGCTCTCATCATTTTAGTTAACAGTGGTAAAGCTTCGAAGTTTTCATCAAAGAAAGTATCTTTTTTCTATTTAAAACTTAAATTCTTTTTCCGAAAGCTTAAGAAAGCACTCTTAATTTGTGGTATGAGTGTAAAATTCTTCTAGGTATTCATCCAATCAGAGTTTTTGTTATCAGGAGAGCTTACAACATTTTCATGAAAGCTGCAAAAAGCTCTCGTTGTTCGAGGTGGGAGCATGAAAGCTTCGAAGCTTCCAACAACAAAAGTTTCTTTTTTTCGTGAATACTCAAATAATTTGCGTGAAAGCTTAAAAAAGCTCGCACCATTTGTGTTATGAGTGTGAAAGCTTCGAAGTTTTCATTGACAAAAAAAAAATAAAAATTGTGAAAGCTAAAACTTATTTTCAGCAACGCTTAAAAAATCTGTCTTTTTTTGAAGTATGAAAGTGAAAGCTCTGAAAATTCGAAAAAAAACTTTAGGTATGTGAAAGCTTTAGAGCGTCAATCGCTACAAAACATCTAAAATTGTCTAGAAGAGAACTTGAAGGATGTGAATATTTTGAACATTTTGAAAGCTTTCGAGGAAAGTATTATGTTTTAGGTTTCTTTACGCTTTTTTAGAGCTTTGTCATAACTCTGTATTCAAGCGCGAAATGCTTTAAATATTTTTCAACTTACTTGATTTAAAGAGATTAAGTTAATGATTGGGTGAAGTTTTTTATAAGCAAAACCAAACAATTGTCCTCTACTACAAACGAAATTCAATATAAATACTATTTTACATATATGCATAAATCAATAATGGTGTGATGTAGTGGACAAGTGGAGGGAAATGGAGTGGAGTAGCGTGGATTTGATTTGAATTGAGTTGAGTCGAGTTGGTGTGGTGTGTGTCGGTACGAAAATATTTACAATTTGAGACGAGTTTGGTTGACGAATTTTGTTTATTTCGATATATTACTAAATAAATGTAGATAGATATATTTTTGATATTTTTTGTGTGCGTTTGGGCTTTGTTGGTTTTAACTACGTTTACGCATACTTCTTGATTATATATTTAGCGTTTTAGTAAAAAGCTACAACAAAATTAACAAGGTAAATGGAAAATATGTATGTATGCAAATTTGTTTATTGCTTGAGTAGTTTTATAATTTAACTAACGGATTGTCTTGAAGTATTTACTAAAATTTTTTTTTTTTTTTTTTTAGTTGCTATTGTAGTGTTTTAATTAAGGCTACAGCGCGCTAATGTTAATCAATTAATAGTTATTGCCTCTATTTATAATTTCTTTTTTCAAAAGAATACAAATTTTAAATTGCAAACGAATTAAATGTATGTACAAAGCCAGTTCTAAATTTATTTTTTTTTCAAATGTACTAAATATCTACTGCAAAAAATATGCCAACTAATTGTGGAAAGTATCATCTAACTGCGCAATTAAAAAAGCTGAAAGGACTCGGTTCGTCGAAGGCTGCGCGGCGAATGAGTCCTTTCCAAACGGCTCGTAGTGCAGCGTAAATTGTAAAAGAATTATATAGTTAATGTACTTATACTATATGGATTGTATAAAATGCTACAAACAAAACAACTACTATGGGTGTGAATTGCAAACGCTAATGCGAGTGGGAGAAATTGTATGAAAAATATAGTGGAAGAAAAAAAGAAAGAATGTGAAATAGTAAATGAGTGTAACTAACCAGCTGGTTAGTTGAAGTGAAATAGAAACGCATAAAGCAGAATTATCAAAGAGAGTGTGTGTGAGAGAGAGAGAGGGAAAAGGAAAGTACAAAGGATAATAGATAGGAAGTAAGAGAGAATTGGAAGAAGAAAAGAAGAACAGAGATATTGAAATTTAAATTAGAAAGAATTAATAAAGCAAAAATCAGCTGCAAAATTAAGGATGTAAGAGTAAGAGAAGTAGAAATATTTAGTGTTGAAATAAAGAGAGAAAATATAATGTAGTATAAAAATATGAATTTATGCATTTTTTTTTTAATTTTTCTCTGTTACTACGTGTGCAAGAATGTATGATTTGGTGCAATTGAATTGATTGAAATTGAAACTTTTGCTACTTACTGGTATCAAAATTTGACGAATAGTATTGTTGATTGGTCGTTTTTTGGTCTTTAATTTGCAGAATAAGGCGGCGATTCTCCTTATCGTAGTTTTGAGTGAGGGCGCATTGCACTAATATGCAAGCGATGGCCTGGGGGTAGAGGAAGAAATTAGTTGAAATATGTAATTTGATTTAAATACATACGAAAATAAAGTTAGGTTAGATTAGATGTTGATAATATACATATACATAAGTTTATGATAACTTATTTATAAGTATATATGTATGGGGGATTCTGGAACATAAAAGGCTATAGTTATTATTTCGGCTGCTAAAAGAACCAACACGTGAAATATTTATAGAAATGTGGCGTATTTGCCAGTAGTGACGATTACAATTTCAGGGATAGTCGCCTGATGCCATTGAATAAAATATGGCCTACAACCACTGACTTATAGGTGGATAAGGCAGTTGTTATGGCCTTCTTGGCAGGCACCCCTACATTGCGCCGTCAGGTTAGATTTCAGTTCCGTTCGTCTAGACCAGGTCTCTACCTCCTAAAAGGCGTTTTGTACTAGACCGCAGAAAACTCTACCGTCAGCGAGAGATCATCAGCGTAGGAACCTGTCTAGCTCCAGTAAACATGCTAACTGCTAAGCAATTTATTCATATCAATTTTCTGTCGAATCTGCATATCCAGTAGTGAGATCCGCGAAAACCCCCCAAATCTAGATCTTCACATACTACTTACATACATAACTCATGAAATTTCACAACATTGTGTAAGAGTAATTTTACCCGAGTATAGTGTTAAAAAAAAAATTATGCAACAAATATCGTTAACACATCGTTCAAAATGCAATTAATATTAGAAAAAATGGTTTCACACTTTTTCCCAAACTAAATTACCAATATAAAGACGAGCCATGACTGAAGCCACCACACAGCCATGATGTTGGCTGACAGCTGCGTTGAATAGTTAGCTGATTCGTGTTGTTAAATAACTAATGGGTGTGTTGAACTTTTTGTAACCACTTTGAATGGATCTGTTTGAAAACAAAACAAAAAAACACGAAAAATTCAAACACGTCAAATATGCGCAAAAGAAAAACGCCCACAATTGTAAAAGAAATATTACATGCAGACACACACAGACAGACGAAGGCAAAACCGCCAGTTTCTTACTAAAATGGAGCGCACATAAGCGGATGTGCGAAGCAAATAACAAATAAATATTTTTCTAAATGCTTTTATTGCAACACAAGGTAGCCCACTACTCGAACCAGATGTCAACTTGTCACTTGAAACGCGTCCGATTCAACTGTGCGCCTCAACGGTAAATGCAGGTTTTTTATATGTATTTACTAAGAGAAGATTTTGTTGGCAAAAAAATTTGAAGAAATACTTAGTATTACTTGGCTGATTTAAAAAATAAATATGACGTAAGGATGAACGTGAATTCGAGCAGTTATTAAGTGTGTGTAGGTGTGTGTGTGTACGAAACATGCATACATGTGTACATAAAAATTTATTGTGTACATATATATACATACACAATTCTTAGCGGACTAAGGAGAGTCAGTTCAAATTGAGAAGAACTATGAAATTTTAAAAGCAAAATTAAGCAGGTTTAGAAATGTTCAGCTTATTTGGTATTTTTGTGCTTATTAGGGTTACCACCGACCTGAAAAGAAAAAAACTTATATATTTATGTAATTTGGAGCTACTAAATAAACACAATTTTTTTTTTATAATAAATGTTTACTTGAGTAAATACTAAGGTATTTAGGAGTACTAAAAATATTTCCCATATTTCTACAAACCAAAAAGGTACAAGAATAGAAAAAATTGTCGATATTTTTTTCTTCCTTCCTTGTGTTAGGGGTTGATAATATAATAAAATGCTTCCAGATTTTTGGCACGTTTCAAAACGTTTCAAGATTTTCTTGAATTCTTTGTGATATGTTTCGGGATCCTTCGTATTGTTTCTTTTGGAATTATTTTCAGAAACTTGTGAAATTTTTTTGGAAGTTTTCGGGATTTTCATGTTTTTTTTTTTGGGGATCCTTCAGGATCTTTCGAAATATTAAAAAAAAAAAAAGTCGAATCGTTGTCTGATTTGTCGTGACTCGTGTTTTGCTATTCAGAATTTTTTAAGAACTTTGGCATTTTACTAGAATATTTCTTTACTTCATCAGAACTTTTCGGTATTTTTTGGGAACTTTGAGGGTTTTGTCGAAACCTTTCAAGATTTTCTTGTGTTTCTTTTAGACTTTCTTCGGTATTGTTCCTGTTTTACTTTGCAATTTTTTAGAAAGTTTTAAAAATTTTAAAATTCCGTGATTCTTTGTGTTATAATTTTCGGACCTTTTTGCGTTTTGGTATTTTTCGCACGTTTTTTGGAGTTTCGGGATTCTTCGTATGATATATTTCAAGAAATTTTGGAATTTTCCGAAAGCTTTCAAAATTTTTTCCGGTTTTTTTTTTTATTTTTCGCCATTCTTCGTGTTTTACTTTTCAAAATTTTTTGAAGACCTTGACAATTTTTTCGAGACTTTTCTTCAACATTTTCAGGGCACACACATTATGTGTGTTCTATTTTTGGAATTTTCAAGGCTTACATGGATGACTTTTGCATCCAGTATATTTTTTACTTGGCACTACAACCAACCATAGATTTGTGCCGATACCGATTTGGTGACCGATTTAGTGAAGCCGAAAGTACTAAATAAGTGAAAGCGTTAATAAGTTAAGGTTACTCAATATTTAGTACTGCGCAAATAATTAAAAAAAAAAGTATTTAAAATACTCACAGCCGCCTAAAATACATAAAAAACATAGCAGGTACTTAATTATTTACTACAACACAAACACCAAAGTAATTTTATACTTATGACTTAATACTTAGTAAATACGATTTTCCCCATCACGGATTTGTTCGTTTTAGTATACAATATTTTGTAGATCATCCGAAAATTAAGCAATATTTGATTTCTTGCTCTACCAAACTTGTTTTATATTTATGAAGAGTGAGCTGATGTTAAATGTATGTGCGTTTGCTTATTCGTATGTCTCTGTTAGCGTATAAACTCACAAAAATTTTTGCAAATATATTCACACTTACTCACATAAACGCAAAAGTTAAGCCCCTGGCGAAGAGCAAGATTTTTGCAAACAAGTTCAAATTGGATTTTCAGTTGAAATGCTACTGTTGCTAATTGCTGAAATTTTAAGCAAACTAGACGTTGGCTGTTAACAAAAAAACAGCAATTCAAGCGAGCAGTATGCAGTTTAAGTAATGCAATTGCAAGCATTTTCATTTAATTCATTCTTTTTTTTTTGTTTCTTAGTTCCTCGAAATTTACGCTTTTAAAGCCTACCAAAAACATTTTACCCATCCAAATATGCCTTGATACACATGCACATATGTATATACAATTATATGTAGGTACATTAAGGTGCCTCATCAAAAAATTAGGCAGGTTTTCCAACCTAATTAAAAAATTTAGTGTATTTCGAGACTTGTAAAAAAATATTTTAGCAAAAATATTAGGATTTTGGTGAGCTGGCCGATTCGAAAATATCTCCAAAAATCTCCCTATATTTAACATTTAAACATTTTTCTGCATACCTTTTAACCTTAAACTCTTCTATCATGCGAATGTTCGACTTTATCAACCCAGCTCACATTAATCTTAGTATTTTTCCAAAATATATTGCCTTTCTATATAATAACTTTTATGATTTCGGTGGAAAAACAATCAATATTAATTTTTTTTTATGGAGGGTAATGCACTCTAATGTTCATACACACGTTTGTATGCTTTTTATTACAGACTGCTTTTGGAATGGCAGCAATTAAAATCGAGTTATTGCGTTTAATGTTTATGCAAATTTTTGGTGATTGCAATGTTGGAATTTTTCATTTTCCTCTTCAATATCTTTGCATCTCGAGTACTTAACATCTCTAAATTTTGATTTTTTTTAAATTTTTCTTTGTTTGTGTGCGTAGTTTGTGCATAAATAGCATCTTCGCATTGCATCAGTGTCTTTGCTTTTTGCGTAACTGCTGCTTAATGTCTGGTAAATCGGTTAATATTTCCAAATTAAGCTCTTAAAACGAATGACGTACTAATTGGGCAATGAATCTATGTCTATGTTTGTTAAGTTAAGCTTATTTTGCAACTGAGAACTGCTTGAATATTCTATATAGAAAACTGAGGCAGCGTGACAAATGATTTTTACACTGTAGCTGGTTCTTACAAGTTACGAAAAATTTTAATCTGGTAACATTGTTTTTAATGGTGACGAAGAATAACTCAGAAAAATAGGTTGTCGGCAAAGCTCATGTGCCTTCGATTCACCAAATGAGTTTAAAAGCGCAATGAGGCTGTTTAGAAACAATAGGGCCTCCAAAGACGACGGTATAGCTTCTAAGCTCTAACGTGCAGGCGGCGATTCGATCTGCTGAATACGAATTCCTCGTCCTACCCTTTCCTTTATATGTTTCATGAATCACGATATCAAATAAAGATAAAAAGGCTTTGAATGCTTTCGAGAGAGTAATTCTTCGCAAGATCTATGGCCCTGTTTGGTTTAAGCGGTGAGTTTAAAAGCTCCAATTAACACTACCAAGTGGCATTTTAAAAGCAAAAATAGCAAACTTCACCTGAAAAAATTGTCAACAATGTTATTTCTCTTAGATCCAGCCTGTAGAATTTAGGAACCTAAGAACTGGACAGTCGCACAGGCGATGCTCTATGGTGTGCCAGTCCAGTCTTGCGGCATGAGAACCCAGGACCTAGTGTCCTATCGAAATAGCTATAGCTGTTAGTTGTGGCAAAAATGTCTCTGCTGTCACCAACAATTAGTTATTCATAATTTAACATTTTTAAGCAATTTAGGCAAATACATACCTTTGCCAAGTAATCCTATAACTCAAAATTCAATTATTTAAAATTTATGACAACTAACTGTCTTTATCAGGCTTAATTAATCCCTTCTACCACATATGGCCAATCAGCCGAGCATAAATACCATATTTTTGATTTTCACTGGAAGGCATAGTAAGAGCAAATTCTCTGACCTTTCTACATTGTGCACATTTGTGTTTACATTTCCAAAGTATTTCCAGTAAGCATTTGCATTTTTCTCTACTATGAGTTGACCTTATT